ACGCTGAGGCTACTGCTGTCGGTCCTGGAGGCGGTCCTGCTGGGGGTGCTACTGGTGCTGCTGGAGTTACTGGAGCTGGAGGTGCTGCTGGCGCTGGTGCTGCCGCTGGGGGTACTGGTGCTGTCCCTGCTGTGTCTGGAGTCGCCGCGCGGCCTCGGCCGTACTTCGTTCCGCTCCTTCAGCAGGTTCTTGGTCTCCCGCCTTCTACTGGTCCTCCTCCTCCCTTAGAGTGTCCACAGCCTGTCCCGTCACAGTTACAGTTACAGCCGGCCTCCCCACTGCCCGCTCCTTCTCCCTACACTGGTCCTACTAGAGGTCTTGCTGAGCGTCGTGAGCCTGCGTCTCGCCCTGCGTCGCCTGTCCGTCCTGCTCGCACTAGTGGTCGTGGTTCGCGTCAGCGTCCTCCTCCTGTCCCTGGCACGCACCGGATGTCTCTGCGTCCGTCCACTGCTCCTCTGCGTGCCCCTTTGCCTTCTCCTCCTGAGTCCTCTCTTCCTGCTCTTCCCGACCCGGAGTCGGACTCTCTTCGTGCTGCCAGTCCTACTGTCACGCGTCTCCTTGCTACTGTCGTCACTGACCCTTCCTTTGAGTCCACTGCTGCGTCTGCCCTAGTTGCTGAGCTCGTCGACTTTGCTGCTCGCTGTCGTCTAGACTACGCTGCTAGTCTTGTCGATGAGTCTAAGTCTGTCTGTCCTCCGTCCGTCGGGGGTGAGTGTGCCCTTGGCACGGACGTCCTTGAGGACAGGCAGGAGGAGTTCCAGTGTTTGGCTGCTGCTTCACCTCATCTCGTGTCCGTACTGCTTACCCCTGAGGGAGACCCGGATGCACTTGACATCCCGACTCCGCGCTCTTACGCGGAGGCGATAGAGGGTCCCTACTCCTCTCAGTGGCAGGCAGCTATGGACGCAGAGATGGCTTCCTGGAAGTCCACAGGCACCTACGTTGACGAGGTTCCCCCGCCTGGGGCGAACATCGTCAGTGGCATGTGGATTTTCAGGGTGAAGCGGCCGCCGGGTTCTCCGCCTGTCTTCAAGGCGCGTTACGTGGCTCGTGGCTTCGGTCAGCGGCAGGGAGTTGACTACTTTCAGACCTTCTCTCCCACCCCGAAGATGACCACTCTTCGGGTACTGCTGCACATAGCTGCTCACCGTGACTACGAGCTGCACTCTCTTGACTTCAGCACTGCTTTCTTGCAGGGCAGCCTGCACGAGGAGATCTGGCTGCGTCGCCCACCTGGCTTCACTGGGTCTTTTCCTCCTGGCACCCAGTGGAGCCTCCGGCGGCCAGTCTACGGTCTCCGCCAGGCACCGCGTGAGTGGCACGACACACTGAGGACTACACTTGCGGCTCTTGGGTTTGCTCCCTCTACTGCCGACCCGTCGCTGTTTCTGCGCGCCGACACTTCTTTGCCGCCGTTCTACATCCTCGTGTACGTCGACGACTTGGTCTTTGCCACAGCTAACACTGCTGGACACGCCCACGTGAAGTCCGAGCTGCAGAAGAGACACACGTGCACAGACCTGGGTGAACTGCGCAGCTACCTTGGCTTGCAGATCACCCGGGACAGAGCACGCCGCACCATTACCCTGACTCAGTCACACATGGTGCAGCAGGTCCTTCAGCGCTTCGGCTTCACGTACTCCTTGCCTCAGGCCACTCCTCTGCCTACTCGCCACTCGCTCTCAGCTCTGCCTTCGGATGAGTCCGTAGAGTCGAGTGGCCCGTACCCAGAGCTTGTTGGCTGCCTCATGTACCTGATGACCTGCACACGACCTGACCTTGCATACCCTCTTAGCATTCTCGCACGCTATGTTGCTCCTGGGAGACACAGACCGGAGCACATGGCTGCAGCAAAGAGGGTGTTGCGCTACTTGTGCAGTACGTCGGGCATGGGGCTTGTGCTTGGAGGGCAGAGTCCAGTGGTCCTCACTGGGCACGCAGACGCTTCTTGGGCTGACGACCAGGCTACGCAGTGGTCGTCACAGGGTTACACCTTCAGCCTTGGTTCCGGCTCTGTTTCGTGGCGGGCTACCCGCTCGTCTTCTGTTCTCGGCTCCAGTTGTGAGGCTGAGATCTACGCCGGGGCCATGGCTGCACAGGAGCTTCGCTGGCTCACCTACCTGCTGACTGACCTCGGAGAGCCGCCTCGTTCTCCTCCAGTGCTGTACGTAGACAACAAGGCCATGCTGGCCTTGTGTCGAGAGCAGAGACTGGAGCAGAGAACGAAGCACATTGCTCTCCGCTACTTCCTTGCTCGTGAGCTACAGCAGCGTGGTCAGCTGCGGCTTGCGGACGTGGCCTCTGAGGCCAACACTGCTGATATCTTCACCAAGGCACTTGCGCCTTGTGATCATCAGCGCTTCTGTACTCAGCTGGGTCTTGTGCCTACCTTGCCTCACTTGCTCACCCCTTGACCTTGTTTGTACTGTTGCATATATATATACACCTGCTCCTGCTTGTCTAGCCTTATATATATGTGTAATCCTGCATGTGAACTGGCCTTGTGGCCTTGAACTTGTGCTCGGAATGTGTGGTGACTTTGTGATCCACCCTGAGCTTGCTTTGCTTTGCTTGACTGGTCTTGTGACCCCTTGTTCTCCCCCACTTTGCCTATGGGGGTGTGTCAGATTTATATGACATAGCTACTGTAGGCTATAGTGGGGCAGCACATATAGGGTACAGTTGTCTAGGGTTTGCATTTGTACCCAACTTTCCCTTAGTCAATTCATTCTCGTTCAGTTTCTCAGTTCTGCGTGCACAAGCATTCTCGTTAGGAGATCGCTGTTTCTGATTGTATTTTTTTACTAAACGGGTCAAACCTCAGTGCTTGCTGCTCTCTGATAGGGTGTTTGGTGACACTCGAAACTCGGCGTTGTTTTCTGATAGGTTATTTGGAGACAGTTGGAATTCTTCTGTTTTCTCATAGAATGTTCCTCACGGTGTCTCTCGAGACTCAGTACCCGAGGCTGTGATGGCTCCAAAATAAAAGCACAGCGCCATGCCTCCTCTGATGTTGCTGGCGTGCTGCTTGGAAAAAAGTCAGACTTCCGCTGCTGCCTATACTATTGTGGTACCTTAGGGTAGTAGCGCAGCAAACTGGTTAGTAGCAGCACCTTCACCAATCAGTATTCCAATATCAGTACTTCGAATTCTTCTTGGGTTTTATATCTAACATGGCTGCAACCTCTGCTCGCATTCTAATAACCACTTTCGATCGCATTATAGGAATCCCTCACAATCAACCACATTCGCTGCTAATCTTATTGTTATTATTGGGCCCGCTGCTATCGTCGGTCTCTGCGACCTTACACTCCCCTTCACCCTCTAGCAGGAAGTTCTACGGGCCATCAGAAAATGGAATCATCGAAGCTCCGCCGTTCAACGGATACTCTAGACCGGCGGACAGTAAGGGGACACCGACGAACATTAACAGTGCGGTTCAACGGCTTAGCGTTAATAGTCCGGCCCGCACATACCGGCCGTCAGGTGGTAGTTACCGGCTGGTAACTCGTAGTAGTGGGAGGGGTCTGCCGTCGGCGACTCGCGACCCGCTTTTGGAGTTGATTCTTCCGTGCGAGAAATGGGAGGGGTGTGACTGGAACGATGTGACTAAAACGAAGATAGTAGAGTTGGAGGAGCGGAGGGGGTTCGGGAATGGACAATCGGAAATGGGTCAAGACAGCAGGGAGGAGGGATCTGGAGAGATGGACGGCGGAGATCAACCCGGCGGAGACGAACTTCACGCTGAGCTGGTTCAGATGGGAGGCGGCAGCAATGAGCGGAATGGGGATGGTAGGAAGGCTCGTAGTGCTACCAGTAGCCTTGGTGAGGTTGGTGAGCTGAGTGAGGGGATGGGGAGGGAGGAAGAAAGGGGGGAGTTTGAGAGTGGTGATGGCGCTAGTAACGAGGAGACAGATGAGGAAGAGGAGGAGGGAGAGGGCGAATGGGAAGGAGAGGAGGAAAGGGGGATAGATCAGGAAGGGGAAGAGGGAGATGTTGTCGAGTCTGTCTTGAGGGAGATACATGCGTGGGAGGAAAAAAACAGTGCTCACAGCGAACGGCAGGGGGATGTTAAGGGACGACAAGGAAGGAAGAGCACGGGGTTAAGGGGTAGAAGGCGGAAAGAAGGGGAGAGGAGCGGGGTGACGGGAGTGATGGAAGCAAGGAGAGAAGTGAGTGGGTTTCTCAAGCTGGTCAGTCGAGGCGGGAAGGCGAGGAGACGAAGGCTGGTGGACGGATGGATGGAAGGGCTGCCGGAGAATACTGAGAGAACAGCGATTGAGAAGCCAAAGGGGACGAGAAGGAGAAGAAGAGGGAGGAGGCTGGCGGATGGATGGGTGGGTGGGCCTTGGGAGGACTCCGCATCGGCGTTTCGGTGGGTGAACGAGGTGGGGAAGGAGGAGGACATGTTGGCGTTTCCAGACAGCTACTACCAGTGGCAGTGGCCCGTGGAGAGGCTGAGTGCCAGCTGGCGTGGCATGTTCATGCGGGGGAGCGCGCACTTTGACGTTAAGGTGAGATGGGACAGGAGGAAGAGATGATGAGTCGGGTCGTTTCCAGATAGCTACTACCAGTGGCAGTGGCCGGCGGCTAGGCTGGGTGGCAGCTGGCGTGGCATGTTCATGATAATTGAGGCACCTTAACGCCCACTATGACGTCAAGGTGAGTGAAGATAAGGCTGGGCTGGACAGCTACCACCAGTGGAAGTGGCCCGTGCAGAGGCTGGGCGCTAACTGGCGGGGCATGTTCATACGGGGGACCACGCACTACGACATCAAGGTGAGCAGTTAGCAAGTGAGGAGAGATCGGTACGTGGCGCTGTGGTCATCGCAGAGGCTGGGCGGCAGCTGCACGGTACGCCCGGTACGACGTCAAGGTGAGCAGTTAGCAGTTAGCAAGTGAGTGAAGATCGGTACGTAGCGCTGTGGCAGTGGCCTGTGGCTTGGCTGGGTGCTAGCTGACGTGGCATGTTTATGCGGGGCAGGGCGTCGCTCGGTACGATGTCAAACCCCGACTGGGCGCTAGCTGGCCTGGCATGGCATGTTCATGCGGGGGAGGGCGACGCACGGTATGACGTCAAGGTAAGCTTTGAGTTGACTCAAACCCCGACTGGGCGCTAGCTGGCCTGGCATGCCATGTTCATGCGGGGCCTCGTCCGGTATGACGTCTGGGTAAGTGTGAATCGCTTAGCTAAGAGAAGTGCTTAGCCTGGGCAGTGGTGTTGCTGCTAGCAATGAGAATTAAGTGAATCACCACTGCGGCTGTTGATAGCAGGTGGCAGCTTGGCCGTGGCTGGTGGGTAGAGTGGATGACAGCTGGCAGGGCATGGTTCATCACGTGGCAGGATTGTTCGTTCATGGCGGTTTGGCATCATGGCGGTTTGGCATCATGGTGGTTGCAATGCTTATCAAAATATATTACGTTTTCTTGGCGTCTCATTGAGCCTCTCATTTGGCCTCCTCGTCTCCTCTCCCTCCCTGCCTTGTCCGTTCCTTCCTCCCCCATTTCAGAACACCCCCTCGTGTCAAGGCATCCTCCCTGCATCAGCCTACGTCAACGCCCCCATATGGGACTCAGACGCTGGTGTCTCAGAGCTGAAGCTTTTGAGCGAGTTGCAGCACAAGGTGGAGAATAACGAGTCCATCCCTCAAGACCTTGAAGAATTCATGCTGAAGGAGCGCTGGCTGATTTGGATGCCGCGCTTTGGGCTGGGGAACTCCCTGAGGGCATACACTTCTGCGTTCATCTTTGCCCTTCTGTCGGGTCGGAGGCTGCTGCGGTGGAAAGGGGGCAACCACAAGCAGGTGAGGGCGACTCAGGGTTTAGGATGGTTCTGGGTGGTTAAGCTGGGGAACTCCCTGAGGGCATGCACTTCTGCGTTCATCTTCACCCTTCTGTCGGGTCGGAGGCTGCTCAGGTGGAGAGGAGGCAACCACAAGCAGGTGAGGGCGTCTCAGAGTTTAGGATGTAGGGTTTTGGGTGGTTGGGTTGAGGAACTCCCTGAGGTCGTACACTTCAGCATTCATCTTCGCCCTGCTGTCAGGACGGACGTTTTCGAAAGTCTTCATCCCTATATGCTCCACCCTTTTCCGCACTTCCCTAAACCCTCAACCTCTTCCTCCCATCCCCTCTCCACCTTTTCCAGGTCTTAGAGCGTTTGTGTAATGCATTCTACTGTGGCATAGACGAGTTGCACTATAAAGGGGACATCCGCAAGCATGCAAAGCTCATGAATGCGATCACACTTGAGATGCATGGCTTGGACTACAGCCCAAATGTCGTGGCTGTTTACACAGGTATGCCTCTCATCCCATGTAAGCAATCTGCTGCCACGCAGAGTCATGCCTCCTAAGCGGGGTTCCCTGTTGTGTCTGTTTACACAGGTCTGTTTTGAGTCAACCCAAAACACACATTTTTTTTGGATTGAATCCTTGAGTGCTTGAGATGCATGGCTTGGACTACAGCCCAAATGTCGTGGCTGTTTACACCGGTATGCCTCTCATCCCATTCATGTGTGCAAGTGCATGTGAATGCAAGTAATGGATATCCCACTATTACCACATTCCCCCGTAACATATTCACTAGTAGAAAAGTCATGTTGCTCTTTTGTGCCCGCATCCCATTCATATTTACCAGGTAACTTCTCTGAAAATAAGTGCCTCTTCTCTGCCCTTCCGTGCTCCCTCTCATCCCTGGTAGGTAATTTCTTTGATAAAACGTGGCGCACAGACCCCCAGATGAACCAGTGCGTGCACAGTGCCTTCAACTGCGGCTCCATCTGGTGCAACCAGTCACAAGTGCGATTGGTTTTCCTTCTCCCACTTATCCCCCCTGTCCCTGGTAGGTAACTTCTTCGAGAAAACGTGGCGCACAGACCCTCAGATGAACCAGTGCGTGCATGACACCTTCTCCTGCCGCTCCATCTGGTGCATCCGCTCCAAAGTGCTCTCTCTGCTCCTCGGCAAGGGCCCCAAGCCAGGGGTGCAAGAGGTGGTGGATAGAGATCTCAGGGTGGTGCCGCCGCTAGTTCTCACAGGGAAAGGTGGGGGGGCGGAGGAGGGGGAGGGGGGAGGAGAGAAGGTGGAACCGCAGATGGTTATGAAAGGAGAGGGTCTGCGGGTGCAGTTTGACGTATCGATTCACATCCGTGGATTGTCAATGTGAGTGGTTTCAAACCTAGTATTGTAGTTTTTCTGTTTTTGGATTTCAGCCATGATAGGCACATTTGCACAGTACATACCTGATAACGTCTGGTGCTGCTCACTCCTCTCCTTCTTGCCCCATCCTTCCAGCAGCGAGCACAGCAAGTGAAGGTCCATGGCCCTCCACCTGCCATGGTCCATGGCACGCGTGAACTTCTGATTGTTTTTCCTCATCCTAACTCGTGGCCTCTTCATGAATGTAAAGGGCAACCACTGTGCCAGCAAGGGCATAATTCCGCCACAACCTTCAGTAGGCAGAGCTCGACCATGTGCTCATTGCTCACTGCTCACTTTCACTCCCGTGATTTCTTCTTTCTTTCCAGGGAAGTGGAGGGTGACTACTGCATGAACAAGGACGACAAAAAGTGCCAGAAGAGGGCGCAGCAGGAGGAGATCATGCGTGTGCACGAGCTCATGAAGCCCAGCCAGTGGCGCTGCATTGCCAGGCTGATGCAGTTCCTTCGCATCAAGAAGGCCGCTGCGGGTGGTTTCAGTAATGCTACAGCCGCTGCTGGTCGAACTTCCAAAGCTACAGCGGCTGCTATTCGGCCTGAGAGCACTACCGCTGCTGCTGGTCGGTCTGCCGATGCTACAGCCGGTACTGGCCGGTCTGCCAATGCTGCAGGCGCTGTTGTTGGAGCATCTGCCAGCACAGCCTCTCACGCTGCCGCCAACACTGCCACCAAGACAACAAAAGGTACAGCAAAGAGAGAATAAAGTAACAACAAAGAGAACAAACAAATCAGTGGAAGGCAACAATGGAAAGAGCAACGATAACAAGTTAAATGCAAACTTTTTGCTGGCCTAGAAAACTTATTGCTAGTCCCAAAGCTATAGTTGGTATTTCACCATCACCCCATTCACCATCACCCCATTCACCACCACCCCATTCACCATCACCCCATTCACCGTCAGCCTCAGCATCCCTCCTTGCTCCCTCCACTGCTGCTCCCCCATTTCCCCTGGCTCTCCCCTCCGCCCCATCCCTGACTTGATAACTTGCACCTCCCTCTGTTTCTTCCCGCTTGTAAAGCAGGGAGTAAGCTTGAGAAAGGAAGGAAGCTTCAGCAGCGGATGAGGCTGCAGGGCGAATGGACAGTTGATGATTCGCTTCTTGTGGCCTCCGTTGCGCCACCTGGCGGCCCCTCAGCCACTCGTCTCGGCCACCTGAGGATATTTGTGGCTACAGATACAGATACTGTTTGATCGAAAGTGGTGAAGCTTTTACGGCCTTTTGGCGAAGTGTATTTTTCGGTTTCACCTCCCATGCATTTGTCGAAAGGCGTTGGGAACTATCTGGCAACATTGGCAGACTTTGCGCTCCTAAGCAAGGGAGCAGTGCTGGTAAGCTTTACTCGATTCACTAGCTCATTTTCTTTTTTTGCAGGCTTGTTAGGTAATGGAACAATTGTGAATAGTCCTGCAGTAGATCACACTTGCAGCTTTGTCGTAGAGCATATGGGAGAGTTGTGGCCGTGAAAATAGTAAATTATGGTATTTGGTTTCAAGTTCAAGTTATTTTGTACTTTTTTCCCTGTTTCACCTATACATGTCAAACTGTAAGGATTTACAAATCCTTACTGAGGCACTCGTTAGCGAGGCCATCCCGAGGGTCACGCGACGAACCTGTTGGCCTATTTCGTCGCACCGAACCACCCCCGAGTCGGCCTCCGCTCCAATCGCAACATCACCGAGCCATCCATTCCCGACCTCCCCACCTAGCTAGCTTTTCCCCTATTTAGGGCTCGTCACTTTCATTGTATCAAGATTCAGTATTCAACCATTCTCGTTATTCGTTATTCTGCGCACTCTCTTTTACAACTCATAACACCTGGTATCAGAGCTACTTTCCTAGCTTTCGCTTTTTAGAGAGTAATACCCCTCGGGGGGGGGGACGAGGAAGGATGTCCTGGGGTCCAGGAGTTGCGTGCTAGCCGGCCAGGAGAACTAGTTAGTTGCTCCTCGCAGCCATATTTTTACGAGCACTCCTTGGCACCGCCGGATCCTTGCCTCGAACGGTCGCGATCGATTGTGACCTCCCTCCCCCCGGGCAACGGACAGCTGTAGCTGCGACATTAAATGTGAGTTACTATTCAGCTGCGTTCTTAACGACGATTTCGGAACTTTGTGAGGCAGCTGGCGTCAGCGGACCTGCATCGGCACCTGCACGAAATTCGCGAAGTCGTCATCATGTGTGGCAGTTGACGCCGTTTGACCGGGGTCAACAGTTGCGTGACAACTTCGGAGTCGTCCCATGCGGCAAGTGACAACGGTGGCTCGTCGTCATCTTGCGCGCGTGACTCACGGAGCGTGGCTCGGCAGCTGGCGACAACGGACGTGCGTCAATGTGGGCGACAAATTCGGAACTTCTGAAGAAAAGGACAACTGGGGAACTCGCCAGGCGCAAATGGAGTTTTTGCGTCCGAAAAAGTCGGTGACGAGGAGAGACGACACGCGAACTGCCCGATTTATGCGGGGTCAACTGCCGTCCCGCCCGACCTGAAGTGCAGTGGCTTTTACTGCATGGCTGGCGCGTCATCGAAGATTTCGACAGAAGTGCTCGTGGACAGTCGGGACTTCAGACTCGCCGACACTTACGGGCTGCAACGAAAAGCGGAGTGGCTAAATCGCACTTACGAAGAAGTGGGACGCTGGCGACGAGGGAAACCAAGTCCGGTAACATTGGAAACGACTCGAGCGACACTGCGTGCCTGGTGTTGTTGCAAGCTGGCCGGCATTTTCGAGAACGGTTTCTCCTACCAGGGAAGTCGTTTTCGGGGACAGCTGCTGACAACCCACGATTAAACGGCGTTCAAGGTACTGCCCGACATTTACGGAGGTTCGGTGCAGGACGCCGGGACACACGAGAAGAAACTGCCCAACGGCTAAGCGGGGGTTGAAGAACGTCGTGGGAGCAGATTAAAAGCCGGTGGAACCGATCTTCGCCCGAACCTCACCATCCCCACCAAGTCCTGGTTCTGACTCATCAGTCAACCTACTTGGCCGAATAACAGGGGTGAACACAAGCCTACCCTGTGCCGGTTAAAAGCACCTGGACTCGTGCCCGTTCGACAGCTGTTCCGAAAAAAATCCAAGAAATAAGAGGAGCTCGCGGCACTATTCTACTCCGACAAAAACGGGCTGGGTGAAACAGCACGCGAAAAATTCGGGGAGCTGCGAGGAAACATTGGAGCAGTTTACGGATTTCTCCTGACCCGGGCGTCTACACGAATTGACGGCGCAGCGGCGAAGCTGAGACCCGGAAGCTGTGGAGTTTTCATGGCGTGATAGGCACGGCGGGCTGCAAAACGGTTGGGCGATAGTTCCTCTTAACTAAGACTACCCCGACTCCGATAGTTTTTGCCCCTCCACCGTGGCCGGGTTCGCGCGGGCAACAACGACGATACCCCATCCGACAAAAGCGGACGCTGGTTGAAACGGCGGGAAGCGAAATTGTCGGGGGGTGAAGACAAAATAACGGAGGGAAAGTTGTGGGTGATTCAGCAGATCACTTGAGTGAGAGGTTGAGCCCGTACACCACTCCACCGTGAATTTCGGGGTCTACTAGGTGGACGCCGAAAGGGTCGGAAACTTTAAACATGGAGGCACGGCGAGGGGTGCACTGCCAAGGATACCTGGGATCTGCTAAGTGGCTTCGACGGGTATGAAGACGGGTGAAACGTCGGAATACCAAGGTTGACAGAGGAAACGTCGGGGCTACACGGCGGAGAATAACTTCGGGACTGCTGCCTCAACCACGATTTTCGGGTGATCTTCATACGGTGAAAAAATAAAGAAAAAAGAGTTGGAGCTGAGGGTGTTTCTTCGTTTCTTGAAGTGTGTTTGAGCCGTTGGGGGACTTCGCCTGAAGGGTCACTTTTTAAGTCGCCTGGCAAGAAACACAGCGGCGGGGATACCTAGAACCCACTGGAGTTTAAACGTACACTGCGGGAAATTCTTCAGTAAAAGGGAGCGTGGGAGCAGCCGAAGTTTCGGGAATTACGTGCCGGCGACGAGCGATGGGTGAAACATCCGCAAAGTGTCAGTGGGAGTTGAGTAGTATTTTGTTAAGCAACATCGGCGTGAGCAGCTTCAACGACGAGGTCAACGGCGTTGATGCCACTAGGTTCCGTGAGATTCGGTCTCGGAATAACCCAGGACAAGTCCACGGTTCTCGATTGAACCCACATGCTGGGGTCAGGTAAATCGAAGGAAACTACTGGTGACCGAGTGGGCGGCTATAGTACGTCCGAGATTTTCGGAGGAGAACTGTGTCAAACTTATATGCTGCTAATTGTGTAGGCTATAGTGGGGTAGCCCATATCGGGTACAACCCAATTAGGGTTTGCTACTTGTACCCATCTTGCTGCTAGTTCATTCATTCTCGTTCGTACTTCTGACATGGTTTCAGAGCAGGTCCTAGCCTAGGACCGGTTTTTTTTAGGGCCCACCGAGTTGCCCTACCCCACCTGTCGCGCCGCCGTGATAGCGCCGCACTGCCCTGCCCTGCCCTGCGTCGCGCTGCCTGCGCACGCCCTGCCCTGCCCTGCCCGCGCGCCGCTCGCCACCGCGCGCCTTGCCCTGCCCGCGCGCTGCTAAACGCCGCGCGCCCTGCCCTGCCCGCACGCCGCGTGCCGCCGCGTGCCCTGCTCTACCCGCGCGCCGCCTTCTGCCACGCGCTCTGCCCTGCCCGCGCGCCGCCCGCCGCCGTGCGCCCTGCTCTGCCCGCGCGCCGCCCGCCGCAGCGCGCTCTGCCTTGCCCGCGCGCCGCCCGCCGCCGCGCGCCCTGCTTGCCCGCGCGCCGCCCGCTGCAGCGCGCCCTGCCCTGCCCGCGCGCCGCCCGCTGCAGCGCGCCCTGCTTGCTCGCGCGCCGTCCGCCACCGCGCCGCCTAGCCCGCGCGCCCTGCCCTGCCCGCGCGCCGCCCGCCGCAGAGCGCCCTGCCCTGCCCGAGCGCTGCTCGCCACCGCGCGCCCTGCCTTGCCCGCGCGCCGCCCGCCGCCGTGCCGCCTAGCCCGCGCACCGCTCGCCGCCAAGCCGCCGCCCTGCCCGCGCGTTGCTCACCGCCGCGCCGCCCTGCCCTACCCTCGCGCAGCTAGCCGCCGCGCCGCCTTGCCTGAGGGCCGCTCGCCGCCGCGCCGCCCTACCCTGCTGGCTGCCGCCCTGCTTTGCCCTGCCTGCGTGCTGCTCTGCTGCTAGCGCGCCCGACTGCTCTGCCCGCTATGGCCACGCTCAGTGTCCTCACTTTCGATCCGGAGGGCCGCCCGATAGAGTTCGATGCGTGGCTCGACGACTTACAGCTGTACTTACTGAGCGCTTCCAAGGACGGTGTTTCACTGTTTGACCTCACGTCTGGCGCCTCTCTCGCCCCTGCCGCCACAGCTGACAGTGCGACTCGCTCACAGTGGCTTACCCGTGACGCTGCTGCTCGCCTAGCAGCTCGCAACCACCTGCCGTTAGCCGAACGCGCTCACTTTGGCCAGCACAAGACTGCTAGAGCCCTGTACGACGCTGTAGTCGCTCGTTACTCCTCCCCGGCCACTGCTGCTCAAGGCCGCCTTCTCCTGCCCTACCTGTTCCCAGAGCTGTCCGCCTTTGCCACAGTAGCCGACCTCGTCACTCACCTTCGCACTAGTGACACTCGCTACCGCGCTACGCTTCCCGTCGAGTTTCTCACCAAGAACCCTCCTCCCATGTACATCACTCTCTACTTCATAGTCACCCGCCTCCCTGACTCTCTTAGCGCTGTCAGGGACCTCCTTCTAGCCCTTGACCCCACCGACCTCACTGTCGACCTGCTCGAGAAGCACCTCCTAGCAGCTGAGACTAGCATAGTCGCTGTAGGTGTTTCTCGTGGCACTCCACGCACTCCCTTCTTTGAGGGGTGTTCGCCCTTCCCCCTGGTCCCCTCCGTCGCCTCTGCTGCAGCTGTTGACTACCTTCGTGCTGAGGAGGTAGGAGCTGCGTCTGCCCCTAGTGGGAGGCTCCGCAGCGGCA